GAGAGAGAGAGAGAGAGAGACTTCGGGAGAGAGATGATAAACGCCCGTGGTGGCCCGACCGGGGGTGGGCGGGGGCTGCCGAGCGAGGGCGCGCCCCGGGCGGCCAGCGGCTCGTGCCCTGCCTTACCTTGTAGGCGGCGGCCGAGGAGTACTTGGGCAGGACGGGGATGCCGAGCGGGTTGTCCAGGCCGAAGAGCGGGGGGCGGCGCAGCTTTGAGGCCATGGCGGCGGGCGCGGCTTCCTTCAGCGTGCAGGAGCGACACAGCACGGGCAACCTGAGCACTCGGAGACTTCCACTATATTTCCTCTCTCCCGCAGATTTTCTTACATTTAAGTGTGCACTTTTCTATTCTTACAGATTTGTCTCCTTTTGTGTATATTTTCCCAACACAACAACCTTGCCGATAAATTGTCTTTATCAATGGTTGCCAACAGGATAGGAAGAGGATGTTACTTTTCTCTGTTTTCTTACTTTCTTATTCAGTAACACACTCGACGGACAGAGCGACGCAGGTGTTCTCCGTACGGTCTCCCGAGAGGTTGTGACGTCACGATGAGATGACAACCCTCACTTGTTCGAACGTTGCCAGATACCTCCACTTTCTTACACTTGGATCGGGTTCCGGACGGAATCGAGTATCAGCTGTTTTATAAAGGAGGGTAGAATACAGAAACCTGCGCGTCGAAAGTGCTATTAACACGCAAATTTCGTAAATAAAAATAAAAATAAGTGTCTGGGCCACTGTGGCTCAACTGATAGGGGAGGCAAACCCGCTTTCGGATTCACGGTCAGCGCTTGATTTTAGTTGTCCTCTGTGACATCATCTCATCTGGAGTGTCAGCTCATCACTGGATTAACCTCCCGAGCTTCTCCTCCGTAAGGCAGCCTTCGTGGGAAGCTTCGGTTGGCGGGCCGACGGGGATTTTAATGCGCGCTACAGATGAATCCTGCAGCGCCCCCGGAAGAGCCCTTCGCGCCGCGCCGATATTCTGGGCGAAGGGGATGAAGGGATGGGGCGGGGACGGATGCATCGACAGACAGCTTAAGTGATTTACAGTCACTCAATTAAAAACGATTTTGAGATCTCGAGAATGAGTCAGTAAGGGAGAGAAATCCTACAAGCAGAGGGAGGACGCGGCCACTGGGGAGAGACTAATAAGCTGATAAGCAGATATCGCGTACTTACACGGCGGTGGGGTGTCCTCGAGGCAGAGGGCGGCGGAAAACGGCTTGCAGAAGCTTCCAGAAAAGGCATACTTGGGTGCCTCAGAGAACAATAGTTTCAATCTTCAAGTCACTGGAGACGCATTGTCATATACACACAAGTCTGGCATCAATTTGAATGTGATGTCATCTGTGTCATACACTGAATATATTACATTTCATGTTCGTCAAGGAAATGCAGCGCAGCCCGGGTTAATTGTTGGCTCACCTTCACGCTCTCCCGGAGTGCCAACCGCACGACGGGGTCCGACTCAGGCCTGACTGTGCTGGCTTGAAGGGCTGTGTGAACATTCCTCTCTGCTCCACTCTCTGTAGCCTGCCGAAGGGAAACGACAGCATCTGTCTTTCAGATGGCCTAGCAAATACACACACACACACACACACACACACACACACACACACACACACATCACACACACACACACACACCCACATATATATATATATATATATATATATATATATATATAATATTATATATATATATATATTATATACATATGTGTGTGTGTGTGCGTTTGTGTACCTATAACTCTCTCTCTCTCTCTCTCTCTCTCTCTCTCTCCTCTCTCTCTCTCTCTCTCTCTCTCTCTCTCTCTCTCTCTCTCTCTCTCTCTCTCTCTCTCTCTCTCTCTCTCTCTCTCTCTCTCTCTCTCTCTCTCTCTCTCTCTCTCTCTCTCTCTCTCTCTCTCTGCTCTCTACTTCTCTCTCACTCTCTCTCTCTCTCTCTCTCTCTCTCTCTCTCTCTCTCTCTCTCTCTCTCTCTCTCTCTCTATATATATATATATATATATATATATATATATATATATATATATATTATGTATATAATATGATATATATTTGTAATATATATTATATATATATATATATATATATATATATATATAATATATATATATATATATATATATATATATATATATATATATATATGGATACTTCTAAATGAAGATTGTCTAGAGAAACGACAGAAGGCCGACTGGTGTCCAGGTCAGGGGATCGTAGCCTGCTGCAAACTTTGGACTTGTTGTTGAAATAATTATATTATATATATATATATATAATATAATATATATATATATATATATATATATATATAATATAGAGATGTTATTATATATATATATATATATATATATATATATATATATTATTAAATATAGATATATATATAATTATATATATATATATATTCCCCGAAACGTCAGAATTTGTTTGTAAAATGTCTCCGGTTCACTACCTGCAAACAATATCCAAACAATCTGCACACAGCACATAAAGTGTATAAAGAAATAAACTGGAAAACAAGAGCATGTTTTTAAACAGATTCTGTCTCACGTGACATGAAGTTAGGCTGCTTGTGATTTCGAAACTGTTGTCCAACCTGTCAGTGCATACACTCACACACACGCACAGACTAAGACACACACACACACACGCAAAGGCTAACGCACACCACACACACACACGACACACAGGCACAGAACGCACGCGACACACACACCACACACACACATGCACACACACAAACACATACAGAACACACACACGTACTAAGACAAACACACACAGTAATGCATTTATATAGACAGACTCGAATATATGTCATGAACTGGAATAAGAAAATACCAAACCAGTGTACCACGCGACCTACCAAGGGGAAAGAACACCTGGGACCGTAATACTTCCGTAGATATTCACACTGGAGTAATGATACCGGTTTCACACACTTCCCTGGGCATTCGGTGGAGTTATCCGGAGTTGTTATTGCTTTACCATCTTCCAGACACAACATTTGAATTTCCAAACCAAGTTCTACTGAATGCGTGTAAGACTTTGCTAACAGATAGCTAATGTCTATGAGCTGTTAAGATCCTAGTTGCACATACCTTCAACTGGTCTAATTCTGCTCATTCAGCTTCAAAGACCATATTGGTACGGATTCGAGTCCTGGTCAGGTAGCATATATATATATATACATACATATATATATATATATATATATATATATATATATATATATATATATATATATATATATATATATATATAGCAGGACATTTTATATCTCTAATCTGATGAGAGACGTAAAAATATTTCAGAAAATGACGAAAATATTACAATATGACCGGACATTTCCACACACATTGTACAGGATAAAGTACATCATCAGACCTGTGCAGCGCGTTCACTATTGTTTGAATTCAAGTGATTCCCTGATTTGCAGCGGCGCGGCAGTGCGGCAGATTCCAGTTCCGGTGCACGAGCGGGGAGTGCATCGCCGTGTACAACGTGTGCGACGGCATCCCGCAGTGCCAGGACAAGAGCGACGAGGGCCACGACTGCCCCCCTGGTGAGGCTCTCTCGCACCGCCCGCCTCCTCTCGAGGGCGGAGTGCCTGGTACACTTTTTTGTCTGTTGTGCTTCGGATGCTAATCCGATAATTTCTCTGAGGAAAACATATGCTTCACTCCCAAGCCGTGTGGAATAAACCATCTCTTGCTCCCGAACATTTTGAAGGCCTTACTTAACCGCCAACTTGTTCCAGCTTCCACGGAGGGCGTGCCGTCCAGCCTGCAGCCCGTGGACGCGGCGCCGCCGGGCATGCACGGAGCGTCCTACGGTGGGTAGAATGTGCTGTGCTTATCAGAAGAATGTTCGATTTCCGAAACACTTTCCAACTATAGTTTGAACTTACTGATAATCAAAATAGCGAAGGAATGACTTCAGACCTTCCTCTGAATCAGAATTAAACATACACTACAACTATAAACGAAGGCTTTAAATAATTTTAGGACGACTTTAGATAAGAGATTAAGTATTTGATTAGTGTGGTGTGATGTAGTTCGCATGATGGTAGTCAATGTATAGTATATCGCCAAAGCTACTGACATGAACGCACCGCAGGACATGGTATCCGAGAGAGTTTAATGTTGAAGATAAAAGCCTCTCATGAACCTGAACAAAGATAAAAATGATAATAATGCGAGGGTAATGAACCATTGCCTTACCCGAGCCTTTGTTGACAACCAGCCGTAGGCCTTCAGGCTTTCCAAAACGATGCTATGTGTCCGACTTCACCCTCCTGCCCTTCCCCAGGCCCAAGGTCCAGCCAGAGCCTATGGCAGCTCCCGCCGCGGTTCCCAGACTATGGAGGCCAGGGTAAAGTCTCGGCGCACCCCCCCCCCCACCCCACCCGCACGCCTTCCCCCCCAGCGGCTAATCCCCTGTCGCTTGTCCTTCCGTGGCCGCTGTGGCTGTCATCGTCCTCATCATTGCTTTCATTTCTGTTCGAGTTTTAGAATTAGGCTGATCAAGTGTGATAAAGATGATACTAATGTTAGTAAGGCCAGTTATGAAATAATGATGAGAATGGTGATAATGATAATAATAATGATAAACAATAATAACGACAACAGTAATGATAATTATAACAATAATTACGACAACAGTAATGATGATTATAACAATAATAATGCTAATGATAATAATAATGATAATAGAAAATAATAATAACTATGATAATAGTAATGATATTGGTAGGAATAACAATGATGATAATAACTATAATGATAATAATAACAACAATAATGATGATCATGTAAATGAAAATAATAATGATAATAATAAAGATAATGATGATATAATATAAAATAATGATAATATAATAAAGATAATAATGATAAAGAAAATATTGATGATAATAATAATTAAAATAATGATAATGATCATGGAAATAACGATGATAATGATAATGATAATAATATTAATGATGATAATATTCACAATAATAACATTAATGATAAAAGTACTAATGATAGAGGTAAAAGATAATGATATATGTATAGTATAATGATAATGATGAAAATAATGATAATAATAATAATGATAATAATAATAATAATAATAATAATAATAATAATAATAATAATAACGATAATGAAAATAACAATTATGATGATAATAATGATAATGATAATAATAATAACAATGATAATGATTATAATAATAATAGTCATCATTATAATAATGATACTACTAATACTACTGCTACTACTAATGATAAGATTAATGATGATAAATATAATGATTATAATGATAATACTGGATGTAATAATACTTACAATATTGATGATAGAAATAATGATAAAAGAGAAAAACTACCACTACTAACAGCAATAACAATGATAATAATATTAATAATGATAATGATAATGTTTGCAATAATAATGATAATAGTAATAATAATAAAAAAACAGTGATAATAATAATAAGAATGATAATAACAAATAATAATAACAATGATAATAATGATAATATAATAATAACAATGATAATAATGATAATATCAATAATAATAATAATAACAACAACAACGACAACAACAACAACAATAGTAATAATGGTACCAATAAACATGGTAATAATAATAATAATAATAGTAATAATAATAATAATGATAGTAAAAACAATATTAACAATGATAATTATTATAATAACATTTGTGATAACAATGGTAATGATAATAATGAAAATAATAATAATAATAATAATTATAATTATTATAATGATAATAATAATAATGATAATCATGGTAATAAGAAGGAAATTAATAAAAATAAAAATGTTAATAATATTGATGATAATGATAATAATAATGATAATAATGATAATGATAACAATGATAGTAATGGTAATGAAAGTATAACCATAAGAATAAAAAATGAATATAATAATGATTATGATAGAATTGACAATGATGATAAAAAGGTAATAGTGATAGTGATAATGATAATGATAATAAAAATAGTAATAGTAATTATGACAATAATAATGACAATTACAATGATTATAATAACAGGAAAATTGATAATGAGAACAATGGTAATAATAGTAATGATAATGATAATAATAATGGTGATGATAAAAATTATAATAACAATGATGATGATAATAGTAGTAATAATAAAAGTAATAATAATAATAATAATGATAATTATGATAATAATAATGATACTACTACTACTACTTCTAATGATGATGATAGTAATAACAGTAATAATAAGAATGGTAATGATAAATAGTAATTATAATAATTGCAGTGATGATGCTAATAAGAACAATAACAATTACTATAATGATAATGGCAATAATGATAATGATAATAATAACAATTATGATGATAATAATGAAAAAATGATAACAATGATAAAACTAGTAATAATCATTAAAATGCAAATAATGATAATGATGGTAATGATAATAGCCATATTGAAAATAATAACGATATTTATAATAGAAAATAGTAATTACAAGGACAATGATCATAAAAGGATAAGAATAATGATAAAACTAATAACGATAATAATGATAGTAATAGTAATAGTCATGATAAAGATAACAATAAGAGTAATAATAAAAAGATAATGTTGATGACAAAGATAGTGGTAATGATGATAATGATAATAATGTTAATGATGATAATTATGATAATAATAATGATAATAACAATGACAATGATAATAATAATAATGATGGTGATAATGATAACAATAATTATAAGAATAACAATGATGACAAAAATATTCATAATAACAATAATACTGATATGGACAAAACTTATAATATTTGTAATTATAATTATGATAACAATAATAATAAATAGACTCATGAATAAATGAATATATATATACATACATATATATATATATATGTATATATATATATAATATATATATATATATATATATATATATATATATATATATATATATATATATAATATATATAGACACACACACACACACACACACACACACACACACACACACACACACACACACACACACACACACACACCACACACACACACACACACACACACACACACACACACACACACACACACATATATATTACTGTCAATGTTATTATCAGTTTATTTAGCTTTTCCTTCCTTTGTGCTGAAAGGTCACGGCTGTGTTGTTCCTTCCGTCGCACTCACACATTCTGTTGTCTAAGAAGCCTAAATAATTGTCTTGCAATGGCTGACTGCTTTGTGGGAGACCCGCTTGTCTTTTGCGTGAAACCTGCGTCTCTATATCTTTATATTCTATGTTTGATGTCCTAAAAACTATTTTTGGTATCAGTACATATACAACATAGAAGTATAGATGCAAATTAATGCGATATCCCAGTATAGTTTTGAATATTCTTCAAAATGATGTTCAAATTCGTCTTGGAATAAAAATTCATTGGAAGTGAAAATGAAAACCGTGTTTGTTTAGCCTCAAACTTTCCCTTCTAATCTGACGTGTTGTTTTCTCGCTGCCAGGCTACCCCAGTCAGATCTTCAGCCACAGACCGAATGTGCTCGACAACTACAACCACCGCCAGGCCGTCCCAGGGTGACTATGTGCTGCTTTCTGGCTAAGGAGCTCTCAGAACTCAAAAACACACACACATACGTATATATGTATATATATATGTATATATACATATACATATATATATATATATATATTATATATATATGTGTGTGTGTGTGTGTGTGTGTGTGTGTGTGTGTGTGTGTGTGTGTGTGTGTGTGTGTGTGTGGTGTGTGTGTGTGCGCGTGTGTGTGTGTGTGTGTGTGTGTGTGAGTGTGTGTGTGTGTGTGTGTGTGTGTGTGTGTGTGTGTGTGTGTGTGTGTGTGTGTGTGTGTGCGTGCGTGTGCGTGTATGTATATATGCATATATATACATATATATATATATATACACACACACACACACACACACACACACACACACACACACACACACCACACACACACACACACACACAACACACACACGCACAACACACACAAACACATATATATATATATATTTCACTTATACATTCATGTATATAAATACATGTACACACACACACACACACACACACACGCACACACACACACACACATAACGAAGGGAAGAGCAAGAAAACACATGAATATGCCGAAGGCCTTTTCGCGATTGCTTCGCCCTGACGAAGCAGTAGCGAAAAGGCCTTCGGCATATTCGTGTGTTTTCTTGCCCTTCCCTTCGTTGTTCATGTTGCAATTTGTTCGTCATGAATTACACACACACACACACACACACACACACACACACACACACACACACACACACACACACACACACACACACACACACACACACACACACACACATATATATATATATATGTATGTATGTGTGTGTGTGTATGTATATATCCATACATAAATAAATGAGTCTATATGTTTCTTTATCTCTTTGTCTAAACCGCAACCATAATACCCATATCAGCTGTGAAATCCTCGCACACAATATAGAGCCTGACCCCCATTTCAGAGCGGTTGATGACTCCCAGCTGTATCGCGGCCCAGGGAGACCTTCGCCAAATTACTACGACTACAACACTCGTCCTGGCTGGCAGTCGTCCAGATACAACACAGGTACATTAATATATAATTTACCCTGACTTGGATTAGCAAAAATAGAAATATGTTAGATTAGAAATAGGTAGATTATAGGAAGAATTGATACTTATATGGCACGGTGTTTCTGCACCATAGGGTACGCGATGACTCAAGTAATTTCAAGTGATGATCATGCCAAAACAACCTGGAAGTTTTAAACATATTTACCGATAAAGTGCACACGATGACCATGCAAATATTTCTTTCTGACAGATTACAACGGGCCATAGAATTTCCTTTCATATAGTGAAGGGCTGATATCAAAACTTTGATTCCAAGGTTGTAGTACATTTTGTTTATGGGTCGGTTCACACTGTTGCTACATTCCACAGGTAACATTGTCAGCTATAATTAACTTTTCCAAAGCTAAAGACCCTACGATTTATTGTGGAATAAATAACAAATAAGTGTTGTAGTGAATCACATATTATGAATATAGCATTACACATATAAAATCCATTACCTAAAGATGTGGTACCTTCTACATTCGTTGCCATTGCTGTGAAGCAGTTCTCAAACTGGGTGTCATGGCACCTGCGGTACTGTAAGTGATACCTAGAGATGCAGCATGCATCTAAATTTAAAGTTGTTCTCATTATTCTAGTAAATATATGCTTGCCTTTTAAACTTATAACCTGTGTTTATTTTGCAATTTGCTGTAAGGGAAATTCGTGTGAAGCCGCAGCAGAAAGAACCACAGTATGTGATTTTTGAGAATCACATACTGAGAAGAGTTTGGGAACCACTGCTGTGAAGGCACGAGGCGAATAATACATTTCAATAAAACTGAAGGAAATTGGCTCAATCAACAATAGACAAAACATCAAAAGGAGACTTAGAGTTTTCTTTAATATTACTGATGTTAAGGTATCTTCAACAAGTGTAAAATTGATTATTGTTCTTGCCATCTCATAAAGACTATTTGACAGTCCTATCGGGTGTGCAAAACCCTCAGACCTGTTTCATATTTCGGGCGAGTAATAAACAAAAATCGGGTATTGAAGACACTTTCGTGAGGAGTCATATATAAAACTCCAAAGTCAGACTTTTCTCTGTCACAGACAAATATTAGCGTCCATGACCTCTAGAGAATAGCGTTTCTGAACCATTGGCTTCACATTAGCAAAAGCCTAATTATACATTGGAAATTATGCCTACTGGATTTAGGCATGAATGTTGAAAATTCTTATTTAGCCCAGACTACTGAGATACACATAATTAAAAACCATGTTCATTTACGGATTCGAGTGACCCCAAAGCAAGTTAGATGAAGCATTTCCTACAAAAAACAGTTATAACGTCATCACAAGCAGAGGCGAAATCCCATATGGCTACAGAGAGACTGTGAGGCGCATTTGCACCGACTTTTGTGTTTCCTCTAGTTCCCAGACCTTTCTCAAATTTTGAAATAAATTTACTTAGTTATCAAAGATACATGGTATTACTTACCCTGTTGGTTCAAGGACTGTTTGATTAGACTGTAGTGGTGATCTAGTGAAGGTAAATAGATGTTAATTTAGAAGAGACCTGTAAGGAAGTTTTGATACTCAGGATAAGTCACTAGGAGAGTTTGGGGGAGACAAAAATAAATCAATGTCGCAATGTTGTAGAAAAGAGAGGCAAATAAATAAACTTGTTGGTATATTAAGCTTGCTGGGGAAAAGAATCAAATTATACTTTTTTTCTTTTTTTCTGTTCCTTAGGGACCTCCCAGGAAAAATTATTGATATGAAATATTTGTTTTTAAATCATGAGACATGTATCACGATGGACCAACGAAGACTTGCAGTTGTGAACACATTTTCTAGTGACTCTTGACAATTCCAGACACTATCCCAATGAAATGCTCTCCTTCAGATTACACTTCTCTTGTAACGAATGGTAGTAGACTTGTGCATTTTGAAACCGAATGTTCAGGCACTGATGGAGCTTGCTTTTTAAAAATGTTTCAACGAGCAGATGTTGTTCAGGTCAGGAGTAGGTTTCATGGAGGAAGTGGGCATAGATTATGATTTACATAATGCCAATAACTCAGTAAAATCTCCAGCTTAATGTATACCAACACCTCTAATTCCCTTATTTTTTTCTTCAATTCACACCTCATGTATAAAGAAATGATTAGTTTCGCCGTTCTTAATATTGGTAAAATAAGTAAAAGTCAAGTTGTCGATCGACAAACTGACATAATTCTTATTTGTTTATTCATCCATATATATATATATATATATATATATATATATTATATATATATTATTAGATATATATATATATATATATATATATATATATATATATATATATATATATATATATATATATATATATATATATATACATACATATATATATATATATATATATATATATATATAATAATATATATATATATATATATATATATATTATATATACATACATATACATATACACACACACCACACAGTTACATACTTGTCCTAAGCAAGCAAGGTACGCCGCCCTTCCTCATAGCCCTTGCAACCGCCAGGTGAGCTCGGCGGCGCAGGCATGGACTACGTGGGGCCGGAGGTGCACCGCCCCTTCCCCTACCCCGACTACGGGTCACAGCAACCGCAGCAGCCTCTCCAGCAGCAGCAACAGCAGCAGCAGCAACAGCAACCACTTCAGCAGCGGGTGGGTAGTATCGCCATGTTTTCTCCGCTTACTGTAATGTATACCTTTACATTTTGATATTTGTACGACTTATTGTAGACTACATCAACTATATATTCATGACTACTTAAGCGTGCAGACACAAAGCTAAACTTTATGTTTAACTCTAGACCGGTACTTAAAAATCGGCGATCGAGAACCTCCCCTAGGTGTTTTTTTTCATAGAATATTTATTTGTTGGCCTTTTTTATTTTCATCCCAGGGAAATGCCTAAAACAACAATATACAATAACAGTTGCACTTAAAAAATACATACATAAGAAATAAAAAAAATCAACAAAAAAATTAACTACTGGCCTGTACTTTCAGCCTAGACCATCAATAAGGGAGGGCCTATCTGATCTCTGTTTGAATAATCTTAAACTAGAAGGATGGGGAAAGAAAGAAAGAGAGAAAAAGAGTTCAGGGCACCACAGAATATTCTGCAAAGAAAAAAATTGCAGGTCCCTTTTTCGTCCCCCTAAAAATTCAATTTTCATATGCTAAATTTCTAATGACGTCTAAACATTGTAAATATTACTCAAAATCTTTCATACCGTAATATCATATCAATACAAGCCTCTCATCTATGATATACAAACATAAAAAATAAAAAATAGTAACCTATACGAGATGCATCTTGTGCACAAAGCGTCCCATACTTCCGGCAGATGTTTTTTTTGGCATGAACGGCTGGTTATTTTCAGTTTCCTTTCATAAGAAGTTGGGAAGGCATCGAAGCTCTCATATTTAGGTAGTCTTCAGCCATCTAGATTCTTGGTAGTATTGCCTTCGTCATCTCAGAGTTGCTTGATGAGTTCCAGGTTGTTCCTGTTAAGGGCCTTTCATCCTCAGGCCTGTAATTTTAGTAAAAATGTTTTATTACGAGGGGAAGGGAGAGAATGGTTGCAGGACGGAAAGAGAGAAAGAAGGGCGGAGGAGGGAGGGAGGGAGGGAGGGAAGGAAGGGTAGGAGGAGGGAGGGAGGGAAGAAAAGGGTAGGAGAGGGAGGGAGGGAAGGAATGGTAGGAGGGTGGAAGGGACGAAAGGAAGGAACGAAGGAAGGAAAAAAGGAAGCAAGGAAGGTAAGAGGAGGGAGGGAGGGAAGGAAGGAAGGGTAAGAGGAGGGAGGGGAAGGAAGGAAGGGTAAGAGGAGGGAGGGAGGGAAGGAAGGAAGGAAGGTAGGGGAGAGGGGAGGGAGGGAAGGAGGGAAGGAAGGAAGGAAGGGTAGGAGGAGGGAGGGAGGGAGGGAAAAGAGAGAAGGAAGGGTAGAAGGAGGGAGGGGAGAGGAAGGAAGGATGGAAGGCTAGAGGAGGGAAGGAAGGGTAAGGGGAGAAAGGAAGGAGGGAGGGAGAAAGAGGGAGAGATGGAGGTGGTGGATGAGGAAGGAAGGAGAGGTAGGAGGAGGAAGGCAGAGAGTGAGGGAAGGAGAGGAGGAGGACGGATAATACAAAGAGACTGAGAAGATGGAGGTATAGGAGGAGGAGGAGAAAAAAGAGGGGAAGGAGGAGGCACTGGTGAATGAGTGAGGTATGGGAGGGGGAGGAAAGGGGGGGAAGGGAAAATTTATATTTATATAGTTCACATTACAAACAGTTGAACAAACCTTCGTTGCTGTTCCTTGACGTTACTCAACTAGTTATGAGACCGAACGTGACACCATGATTCTGTGGAAAATTCCAAATTCACATTATTCATTTTTTCTTCCATAACTCACTATCTCACCACTTTTTCTTATGCCATCCACGAGAATGAACACTTGTCTATATTCAAACACCAATGCCATCACATAAAACACCAAAATAACTTCAAAGACGCATAAATGATGCACAAAACCAAACGGGTTTAGCTCAATTGTACTCGCCCAAGGGTGTGACATGCCCACCGGAAGCTTCTTTAGATATTGCTGGCGGAGCGACGAGCTGCGTGACGTTCTCCTCGGCTGCATCCAGGCCGTTGCTGAGGCCAATCAGACGTGTGTTGGCGAGCGCATGCGTGACTTTCTTTTATGCCCCTTTGTTCTAGTCTAGGGTAATGTTAATTGAATATTAAAAAATCCTCTTCAGCCACTTTCAATCTGTTTAAGGAACTAATCACACATGGAAGTCAATTCATTGTTCTCTTTTGTTGACATGAATATCATACATGTGCATATTCTTACAAGTTGGAAGAAGCCCAGTGGATATATCTTTTAGTGTTTTGGTTATTCACCTCGCTCTTGAACATGTATCACACTGCCTGTGCTTGCTCAAGACGCTTTCTCCTGCGACTTCCGCCTGTTTCGTAATCCAGTGCGCCTGGTAGTAGGATTCCCCTCGGGTACAATGGAGCAGATGTTGGAAAACAGCGACGCGACGCACCTACACAGTTGCTTTTTTTCTGACAGCAATGTGCCCTTGGAGTGTATGTCCCCTAAACCTAAAGAAAACTAATAGTATGAAAATAAATATCAATATTTTGTACCCTTAAAAAAAGATAAATGTTTCACTTTGCTTGTGAGCTGCTGGAATCTTGTCTCGGCTAGTGATTTCTCGAAGAACCGACATCTCAGCGCATTCACTACCAGGGTTATTTGACTGCCCGGTATTGTCCTTTTGACTTACATAATCTAGGACTCTCTGTTCCCAGTTTCTACATTATCAATGAATGTATCTGTTGGTACATTCCATATATGGGGCCAAGATGAAACAGTGGATTTGGAACTCATGAAGCTCTTTTCCCTGTCTTCTGAATTAAAGGCATTCATAATATCAACAAAGGAGTGCTTTTCATTCTTCCTCCCTATTACTGGTCTCATAGTATGGGCAGCGGCTTTTCCTCCTGCGAGATGGCCGCAAGGTTCCTGATGACTCTGGGTTTAGCATCTGTTGTTAACTTTCCCATGTATCTTGCGAGGACCAAATCAAACTGGTGTAAACAATTTTTCGTACTGAAGAATTGCTATACACGCTGTTGGTTCACTCCGATTTTACAGTGTCAAGGATATTTTCCTTGCGAACTTGTCTTTAGTATAGTATTAATCAATAGCCTATTCTAAAAGCTTTCTTTGCGTTGTTTTGGTTTCCAGGCGCTTACACTGGTTCCGAGCACCCACCTACTTCGTGTGTTTCTGCCGTTTTCTCCCATTCCATGTCCGCGGTTATGTTTCTTTTAGTATTTGCCTGAGTATTGCTTAGGGCCCTTTATTCAGCCTTTTAGACAGGCTTCCCATGAGTACCGGTGTGTTCTCTCAAGGTAATACACACACATACATATGTATATATGTGTGTGTGTGTGTATGTGTATGTTTACACATAATCATATAAAGATAGATAGATAGAGAGAGAGAGAGAGAGAGAGAGAGAGAGAGAGAGAGAGAGAGAGAGAGAGAGAGAGAGAGAGAGAGAGAGAGAGAGAGAGAGAGAGAGAGAGAGAGAGAGAGAGCTCCATGGGCATCAAAGCAAAGGTTCTCAGTAGCTGTCATCGTCTCTGCTCATCTTGGCGACAGAGGCATCGGGCGCGTCAAGTCAGTGGATTCAAAGATGAAATAATGTTACAGACATGAAAAACGACATCAGATCTAAAATGTTGATAGTTATATAATATTGGTTCCATGTCTAATGTTTAATGTCCCGTTATGCGAGTGGTTCTGGATGCATGGAACATACAAAGCTAACGCTCTATATCCTTGTCCTCCTTGGCAGCCTGTATGGATGGATCAGCCCAATTACCCAATGCAGCAGCAGCAGCAGCAGCACCAACATCAGCACCAGCACCAGCAACAACAGCAACCGCAGCAGCAGCAACAGCAGCCGCAGCACCTCCACCCACAAATGCAGGATCGCCACATGCAGAATTCTGTCCCAAGTCTGAAATTCCAACAGCAGCAGCTGCAACAACAACCAGTCTCGCAGCAGCAGCAGATGCCGCAGATGCCGCAGATGCCGCAGTTGCCACAGGGTCCGTACCAGCAGCACCCGGTTCTGAACCAGCGGCCGCCCGGGGGCCTCGCTCCGCAGGCCAACCTGCAGGATACAGAGGTAGGCTGTCGGCTTCAGGGGAAACCCACACGAAATGAATATAGATAACGGTAATGATTATACAGCAAAGGAAAGGGAAAAGAACATGAAAAAATATAATAGTGAAATGAGGATGAGGATGAGGGTGAGCGAGAGAACGAAGGTGAGGATGATAATGATAATAATGATGATGAGCTGGAGGTGTGGGAGGGGAAGGGTAATATTAATAATAATGATAATGATAACGGTGATGATAATAAATGATGATCATCTTTTTTATTATCGTTATACCATGAATTTTATTGATATTTAAATATATCATGATAATGATTATTTACAATTATCATATTTATCATTCCTATCAATATTACTTTTAATATCGCCATTCCCACCAATGAATTGGTAATGATCAAAGTAATGGTAATAAGAATGATAATGAGAAAAACCGCTGACCTCGCTGACCTTCCCTCCCGCAGCTTGGCATGGCGAGCGAGCGGAGCGGGCAGGGCGCCGCCAACCAGCTGCCGGTTCCATCTGCCCCGAGGACCACGCACTCCACGGTTCGCCCGTCGACGCTGCCCTCGACTGGTTCGTAACGACTGGTTCTGTGCAGAAATATTGATGTAGTGACTGCTATTCGTGAGCGGAAAAGCCAGCCAACTGTAGATATGGCAGTAATTTAAAAATGTCTGGGAAAATAACTCCAAATTAAAATGTCGATCATTTTTATCACTGAATTTATTATGATGAAATAAATGCAGGCCCAGCCTCCGCCGGGAACAGCAGCAACAGCAGCAGTGCAGGCGCAGCGGTCAGCAAGGTCAAGAACGGGTCAGCTGTGGTGACGTCCGTCCTGTCAGACAACGGCCGACCCCACATCATGGCCCACGCGTCCCTCGCCAGACTCGAGGTCAACGACGAGCAGCTGGAGATGGAGGCCAGGGAGCAGGACGCACAGGCGTCGGGGGCGGTGCTGGCTCTTGCCATGGGTACGTGCTCTCCCTCTCTCTCTCTGTCTCTGTCTCTTTCTCTCTTTCTCTCTCTCTCTCTCTCTCTCTCTCTCTCTCTCTCTCTCTCTTCTCTCTCTCTCTCTCTCTCTCTCTCTCTCTCTCTCTCTCTCTCTCTCTCTCTCTCTCTCTCTCTCTCTCTCTCTCTCTCTCTCTCAGAATATCTCTCTTTAGGACCATTGCAGGTACGTATTTTCTGGAGTCGGTCTTCAGGAGGGCCAAGTACGGGGCATTCAGCTGGTGGGTCTTGGACACGACATGGAAGCATGCCGCGTCACTACGTTGTTGTAAATTTCCGACACTTAAGGCGTTTTAAGCAGGGGTTCGCCTGATCAGGAATTCTTGCTTCGAGGCCAATAACTGCACTGTTCGCTGCTAAAAACGACTGTTAGAGCCTGCGCAGTATTGCTAAACCGCAAGAACGGCTCTATGAAACGTTAATCTTAAAAATAAATATGTTCTTAAACTCAAATATCTTCCACAATAAACGTTTTGAATAAAAAATCTACCCTAACATCTTTACAAAGCATAATATTTTCTCCTATGTGCATATAAAGTGCCTCTAAGACAGCGATACACACTTTCGATTGGCAACCCTTGCATTCTGACGCGCTATCAAAACAAATGAGCATCACTGAATTAAAGTATAGGCCTACCCATTTCCATATATATAATCAATCTTATGAAGTTGAAAATACTAGTCACTAAATACAATATCAACAGATGAATGTTGCTACTTTTTTCAAACTCTTCCGCTTGAAATATTCTCTATTTCTTTGAATAGTAGGTACATTCTCGATCAAGAGAGACGGGGAGTTTAAAAGTAAACGATAAATTGTCCCTTATAATGATTTATTATTTTAAAGAAAATAAAACTTTTTAATTCCCGCAATCTCCATTACCTCCTTTCGTTTTCAGTTAATTTCTTCTTTGAATATAATGTTATAGAAATTTCAGAAACCGAAACCGTAAAATACAGCTTTTCTGATGAAATATTAAGCAGAGTTGGCCAGCGCTCGCATTCGAAAGCTTGTAACCAGTACGGTACAAGAATGACGTTGTTGCCATGGTAACAGTCACCGCTCGACTTAGCAAACGCAAATCTAGCC